TTTTTTTTTTTAATGTGTATTCTAATATATTTATTGTTCAATAAACGAAAAAAAAGCAAGTCAAAGTTAGTTTAAAAATAATATTTCTTGTTGGACTGCAAAACTAAAAACTGGTAAAGTTGACCACAATTATTATGAAACTGCAAATAGCTTTTTTTTGTCCATTTTTTGTCTGTTGCTTTTTTTCATAAACAGTTGTCACAAATTATGACAATCATTTTCGTAATTGTGTTTGAAATATAAAAAAAGCCTTTCTTTTTCCATTATATAAAATTTATCACTTTTAGTTGTAATCAATAACCGAAAGACTTGAAATTACTTTTTGTGCAGTCAACAATAATAAACTGTTAAGGCATTGATAAACACACAAAAAAAAGGTTTAGAGAAGAAGAATTTTAGGAATAGACAAAAATATGACTGACTGATTCAAGAATCAATCTTCTAAAGATACAAGAAGCGATGAATTATTGTAGGTCACACAGTTACTGCAGTTGTTGGTTTATATCACCAAATGCAAAATACGACTCTTTGCTTTCCCCAACTTTTCTTTGCCGTCCCTTTATGCCTGTTCAAATCTGCTTCGTCATATGTTGCAATCAAGTTTCTTTTTTGTCCCCCAGTTTCTAGTATCAAAGTTGAGACCACATTTGTTGCATAAATCGTGGTAACCAACAGTTGCTTAATGTTTCACAAAACAGGTGAAAAAAAAAAGACGCACAATTTGTTCTTTTTCAACTATCAAATGTTAGATAATCGTTAAAACAAATAAGCATATAGCTGTAGCTCAATTAAAACAAACAAACAAAAAAAATTACTGAAGAAAATGCGATGACGAAAAAAAGTCTCATAAATTGTAGTTATCAGTTAGAAGTATTGCGAAGCACAAAAAAGCACTGTTGCTTTTGTTGTTAATTGTTCCGGCTAAAAAAACAACAAACATACTGCTAGTTGAAAGCGCTTTTTTTTAACCTCTCTCAACAGCCATCGTAGAATAAATGTCAAGAACAACTTTTTTTCAAAAACAACTTGAGAAATTTAGCAAAATATAAAACTTTATGTTGCGAAAATGTAGGTTTATGAATCGTTGGTATTGCTGCTGAAACCTGTAAATCTAGAATCTGACAATCATAGATTTGATGTCGTGGATTAAAGGTTTAAAAGTTGTTGTCGACAGAAAATAGTGTATTATGTTTCTTTGATCTTTTTTCAAAAATACAGACAAATTGTAGAAAGTTAGCCAGCTAAAGATTTAATAGTAACTTTCCAATTATGGACGTTTATTATCGAGTTTATATAAGTGATGTCATGTTGAATAAATGTTTTTTGAAGAAAGTGTGAACATTCAAATGCATCAAAAAATAGCACTGCAAAGAACAAAGGTCAAAGGAGAACTAAATCACTTAAGTTCCATTTTTTTTTACAGTAAGGTTAAAGACTAGTTTGAAATATTTGGAGTGGAAAAATTGATGAGTCAGAAGTGGTTAGCAACCATTTTAAGACACTGTCAAACTATCCTTTGTTCGCTTACGTCATACCATATGATTTGTAGTTCTTGATCATCTTCTAAGATACTGTACAATGAACTTAGAATTTACTTACTTAATCTGATAATGTCAAGTAGATTTGAAGTATCTTAAATGCTATAAAACATAGGCTTAAATGTCACACCTGAACAGTTTACAGTTCATTGTGAAACATCTGTTCAGTGCGTCTTTGCATTTTCATGATTAAGTATTAAATGACTGATATTATTTGCAAAACCTGCAAATATTATTTGACGACCTTTTTCGAAAGCTTATTGCAACATCTCACTTTCAGTTTACCAAGAATTTACTCTTATCCCACGCAAAACGCTTAACAAACGAAACCGTAAATTTAAGATTGTGATTAATCGACGAAATAGATACGGAAATTCTGAAGTGACTATTTTTTAGCCTCTTTAAGATACAGAAAAGTATTTTTAGAAGGAAAGATCAAAAATTGATCTCTTCATTATGGTTCACAGTAACTCAGGTGATTACTGTTTTAAAAGCTTTTACATTTAAAAAAAATCATGACTGATACAAATAACAGAAACATTTGTATAATTCAACATTTCAAATAAACATTTAATGTTTATTTGAAATGTTGAATTATACTCGTCTTCGCGTAACAGTCAAATTACTCGTCTTCGCGTAACAGTCAAATTCTGAATCATTTGACATTCCTTCTTTCAACTCCTTCTGTGTTCCATTGAAAGGTTTAATTTTTAAAAGACAGCTTAAACACGCTTCAAAGATATGAAGTCCAACGAATGATGAGATGAGAAAAAACCTATATATGTGGATGAATGAAAACAAATGTGTCAAAAACTTGGATACTGTTTTCGATCTTGAGTGTTGGTCTGATTCTTCACTTCTTGAAAGAGAGCCTAGCCAAGATTTTGTTCAGAGCCACTGAAAGACAAAAAAAGCTGCTTTATTTTTGCTAGTGTCAATACAGTTGCTTAAGTTAGCTTGATTTCTTTAAATTTCAGATAATCTTCGATGACTACAAGAAATACGCTAAGTAAAATTACAATGACACAACAGGTCATCAAAATCTGTGTAAAAATTCACTTGTTATTTGCTTCTGTTACCACTGATCTTCAATTTCTTTTTCAAATTTTTTTATGGTCTACGAGATCAGTCCACCCTACAGTTGTTGCTATACGTAAAACCTGAGTACAATACTTGAAGCAGTTACATTCGGTTGAGTGCTACAAATTTAAATATCTGCCCAACATAGTAGATTTAAATGACTCAGGATAGAAAAGTTAACAAAAAACCTGTAAAATATAGGCGGTAAAAGTGATTAATTTAACATCCAGCAGTTTAATGTATTGATTATGCCTATCGATTGTTCACCAAAGAAAAACTGTTTGGGCGGTGAAGAAATAACCAAAAAAAATAAGATTTTAGCAACAGTGTAACAATAATCCGCTAACAGTGTCTTCTGTATCTCCAACAGTGCAAATTTTAAAACTATTTTTTAGGTACATATATCGACCTTTAAAGATGGTACCAAAATACCGGCTTCAAGTTGTTTGTTTAAAGTGCCGACACCAAAGAATTCTTTAACCTTTGAATATTTCAAGGAACATTGATCAACAGTTGTAAAAGACGGCTTGAACGTAGATGAAAGAAAATGAAGTTTGCTTGTATTTCATCTATGTTACCGTCCCGTCAGTTGACAACCTAGCTTCTTCGTTTCTCTTGAACAGGCAACAAACAAGACGGCATTGGACGACCGTCGTTGTTGACCAACAGACTGGCAACTAACTGCTGACACTAAATCTTTTGAAGCAGTGGGTGGAGCTAGCGGTTTCTAATCACTGTATAAGAGCCACTTGGAATGTATTACAAGCAGAAGATGGTTTTTTGAGGTTCTAAAATCAAGCTTTTCTTTTTTTTTTTTAAAGGTCTTTTACAATCAAATACTGT